CCGCTTGGTGTCGTTTTCCCCCCCCCCCGCGCCCCCCAGCCACTGGGCCCACCGATTCCCCCCCTGATTTTCCCTTCCCCCGTGGGCACCAGCGGCGAGGCCTGAGGGCCTCCCAGCTGCCGGGCCCGCTGATTCCCCCTGCTGATTCCCCCCCTGGGGGCACTGGAGACGAGGCCTGAGTGCCTCCCAGCTGCCGGCCCACCGCAGAGTTCCCAGAGCGTTCTCTGCGCATGTGCAGGGAACACTCTTACTTTTGTTGTTGTTGTTGTTCAGTCGCACAGTTGAGTCCGACTCTTCACGACCCCATGGACCGGATCACGTCAGGCCTTCCTGACTTCCGCCGTCCTCTGGGGCTTTTGGGGGAATTTAAATATCTCTCGTACAGTTTTAAAAACTTTTTAGATTTTTCTGCACACCTGGGGACTGCCCCAAGTGTGCAGGAAAATCTCCCTGCCCCCTAAGTGCCCCCGATGTGCAGATTTAGATATCTGCACGAAGGGGGCAACTTGGCTATTAGATATATAGATGTCTTTCAAACAAAATAACCTTGATGAAAGCAAAAATGATTTCAGCTGTATAAAATATTTCACATGTTCCAGGGCAGAAATTCTGGTGGGAAGAGGATGCTGCTGCTGTCTGCTTTGGAGCTCTAAAGGATGAGACCCAAATTTCAGCCTGCCTGCCAAGCAGAGGCTCTGCCACTGAGTCATGGCCACACACCCGTGGCTTTAGTCCCTTCCCCACTGGACAGCTTTCTGAGGCTGAATCACAGCGGTGGCAAAGTAGGTGACGGCTGTACTTTTGTTCCTGCCCCGAGATCTTTGGCTTGAATTTACGCAATTCCTGCAGCAACGCATCAGTGAGTAAGACAGGAATGCAAAATGATGGTCATTATTGATGGTTGCTGCCCCGCATTTGCATCAGGACAACTGGTGCGGTTGACGACTGATAAGTTGGTCAGCGTGGCCGTTACTTGGGTGTGTGCGTCGCTTGCCGGGGATCGCTGTCCGTCACGGAGGTTGGATGCTGGGCTCTTCTTTGCCGATCTGCAGACCCTTGCGATGTGCCCACGCCGTCCGCACGCTCGGCACTCCAGATCTCGCGCCCAACAGGAGTCACGTTGGTGTTTCCCGCCACAGCAAGACTTGCTAGTTGTCGGTTTCACTTGGGTCCGCTTGCCTTGAAGTGCGTTGACATCCTCAAGCGCATCAACGCCCTCTTCGTCCTGGCACTGGAAGTGAACGCGCTGCTCCGTGGACGCTAGGCGCTGCCGAACCTCCTTGGTGGACTTGTCTGCTGCCTCTGCCGCGACAGCCTCCTCATATGCCACTGCCCAGGTCAGGGTAGTGCGAGCGAACAAGCGTTGCTGTAGCCTCTCGTCTCGAAGGCCACACACGAGCCGGTCTCTGAGGGCGTTCTCAACATCCGCGAAGTTGCACGGCCGCGCCGCCTTTCGTAGGGCCG